CACAACGAGGGCCTGCCAAGACAAGAGTATATGGTTATACTACCTTCTCGTTGGTGCGCTTGTGACAAGTTTCAAGCCTTTCGTATGCCTTGCTCTCATGTCATTGTTGCGTGTGCCTATACTCATAAAGAGGCGCTACAACTTCTGTCTCCCATTTACAAATCCGAAACTTTGCTCAACGTATACAACAACATCTTCCCTTTGGTAGCAAAACCTGATTATTGGTCTGCATACGACGGAGAAATAGTATGGCACAATGACCAAATGCGAAGGAATAAAAAGGGTCGTCCCAAAAGTAAGCGCATCACAACTGAAATGGACTCCCTTGACAAGCTGGAAAGAAAGTGTGGTTTATGTCGTCAGGTCGGACACAATCGCAAAAATTGTCTGAATCGGGCTACTGGCTCAACCACATAAAAATTGTATTACAAAACAACTTTACTTGTGTATGTTGTAAACATTAGGGTTTTTCATTAACAATATTTTTTACAATAAACCTTGCCCGAACAAGAAATAAAACACGATAAACCGTCTACGAAATTACAACCGTTAAAACAATTTCATCTGACCCATGCATCATCAACATTACGTCGCTGTCTGTTTTGACTTCCTCCAACCAAAAATTAGGTCTTCCTGTCGCATGTGAGGTTGTTGTTCTTCTTCGTTGGATCCTTCTAATTTGTTCCCCATCCTCGATGTTTCCCTCTAGCCATCGCATCAACTCCCTCTTCAGACACTCCATAGAGTGATTTTGCCAGAATTTCATTTTTATCGGAGGTTTTGTGGCGGAGAAAATAACGTAACCATCTCTGGTAAAAATCATGGGCGATGTTATGACGCAAATAACAGAGAAAAAAATAAGAGAACAATGCGAGAAAGTGTGAGGAATGACGGAGAAACGGACAAATTATTTATAAAAAATGAATTTGCCCTAGGAGCCAAGTGAGATGGCGCCTCCTCTCACTTTTAAAGTGCATGTGCCATATCACTTGGCTAAAAGAGAGAGCATGCACCAAGTGGGATGGCGCCTAGGACAAAATGCTAAGTGCATGCGCCAACTGGGTTGACTCCTCCCTTGTGGGGTTTTCTAAAACATGGTTATTTGCGTAATTTTCTCTGAAACATGGTTATTTGCGATTTTTTTTAATACCTAGTTATTCTAAAAAAAAAATCCATTATCTCTCGGTGATAATTGGAAATCGTAGAAGTTATAAATTAAATTAAATTAATTTTAGATATCTCAAAGTAAGTTCTCTCTCGATGATAATTGAAAATCATAGAAATTGTCAATTAAATTATAGGGTTAAATAACTTCTACCTCTTATAATAATAGAGAGTTTTGATTTATCCTCTTTTAAAATAAAAAAAATTCACCCCTCAACAAATATAAATTCCTTCACCATAGATCCCGAGTGACTATTGCATCCAGAATCTTTCTATGTGGCGTCTCATGTGGCTTTTTTTAAAATTTTTCCTTTATTTAAATAATGACATGTAAATATTCTTTTCATGTGGCTTTTTTTTTAAATTTTCTTTTATTTAAATAATGACATATAAATATTCTTTTCATGTGGTTTTTTTTTAAATTTTCTTTTATTTAAATAATGACATGTAAATATTCTTTGAAAACATATAAAATAATCTCAAAAAATTGTTTAATATGGGATTTGAACCCAAAATCATTTGCATGCATGACCAGCACATAGTCATTAGGCTAACTGCTTTTCCTTGTAAATTCTTCCCTCAAATATATAGTTGTTTCAATATTCTGCAAGTGTTTGTAAAAAAAACGAGGGTTGTGTTTGGACTCAAGAATAGACAGTGTGGGCATTTTAATGAGGTAAACTTCTTGTCATCATTTAACGTGGGTGGCAAAGATAATAGATGATAAACTTCTTGGAAAAGATATATTCATTTAGATCACATTTTGTTCTTAAATGAATTTGATGCGAAAGTCGTAGCCTTCAATTTGATATTTGACTTACCGAAAATCAACAGTTTTAAAGATAGAAAAATACAACCATAGTTGCACCTTATTCCACTTTTGTTTTGGAGTACCGGGTTGTTATTCATAATCCATTAGATGCAACCCTTGACGAAAAGAAGCTACATAATGTAATGTAATGACATTTTATTAATTCTTTTGCACGGGTAACTTTTTCACAGATATGAAACAGGAACCATGTTCGTATTTAGTGTGAGAAGAACTTATATGATGCGGTTACATCATTTTGCTGTATAATGGTTGGTTTACTTCCCTTGCATCTCATACTCTATTTTATTGAATGACATTAAGTGATGAAATTTGTGAATACAAGTTCATTCAATAAGCCATTTGTGCAGTGAATTTACAAACACTTTTTACAACAAGACATTTGTAAACAAAGAACATAACCCTCACTTTTTACAAACACTTGTAGAATATTGAAACAACTAAATATTTGAGGGAAAAATTTACAAACAGAAATAGTTAGCCTAGTGGTTGTGTGTTGGTCATACATCTAAATGATCTTGGGTTTGAATCCCATATGAAGCAATTTTTTGAGATTATTTTCTATGTTTTCAAAGAATATTTACATAGCATTATTTAAAAAAAAGGAAAAATTAAAGGGAAAAAAAGCCACATAAAAAGAATATTTACATGTCATTATTTAAATAAAGGATTTAAAAAAAAAAGCCACATAGAATGCCACGTAGGAAAATTTTGGGTGCAATAGTCACCCAAGGTCTATGGTGAAGGAATATATATTTATTGAGGAGCGAATTTTTTATTTTTAAAAATGAGGATAAATCAAAATTCGCTAATATTGCAGGGGGTAGAAATCATTTAACTCTAAATTAAATTAATTTTAGATGTCTCAAACTAAGTCACTCGTTTATTTTAGTTTTTCACGCGATCCGTTATCGAGAGAAAAATATATAGATAGATCAAAGAAAATTTCTTTCTACGTCTAGTGTTAGAACATAGTTTAATTTTACATCTTAGTAATAGTTTTGATGATCACAAATACATGATATATAAAGAACAAATATGCTATCTAATAATGTATTTAAATATGCAGAGAAATTCTGATGAAAGAACATAAAAGATGATGAGAGAATTGCATTTTAAAGCTTTGATTAGACTAAGCATTCAGACTTAGAAGCAAATTCGTGTAACACGCTTAATAGAAGAAGCTCTGATGTTATAACTTTTGAAGCACCAAAGCTGTAAGCTAAACTATGATATTCTGATAAATAAATATTCTGAAAGTGCAAAGAAGCTTTAACATGTCTGTCTCATCCAAATTCTAATTATATGAATATTAAGAAACTCTGAGGATCTAAAGTCTCAACGATAATATTCTTATTCTGATCAAATTTCAAAGAAGCAAAGTTCTTATGCGTTACAATTCATTCATTACAAATCAAAGAGTAACAACTGAAACAAGATAGGATTTGTATTTTTAAAAAGTGCATTAACAATATTTTATCAACCTTCCAAAGATAATTTCTTATGTCTCCAACGATTCAATTCACTTCCTCTATATAAAAAAGACTGAAGAAGAAGAAAAATACACACTTGCGCATGCAAGGATATATCTTCACTAGCTCTCTATTATTTATTCATTGTACTTTAAACCTTGTGTATAAATCACAGTTGTGATTTAATTTTTATAAAAACACCATCACACATTTTTATTCATATTTTAGAATATCTTGAGAAATCAAGTTGTAGTTTAGTCTCAAGAAGACGTAGACGATAGTCATTGTAATTGTGTAATAAAAAATTTTAAATTAATGAATTAAGATCTCGTTTGAGAGAGGCGAAATCACATTAGCAGATGAACTGAAATAGTTTGAGTTCAAACGAACCAGAATAACCAAACTTGTCATATTATTTTAATTTTTGAAAACCTCAATTTAAATTTTCTTTCTTGTATTTCTATATCCTTCATAATACTCTCAGAATTCAGATATGCATATACACACGAAAAAATAATTTCGAATATGCATGTTCGAATACATCTCAATTTTAAAAAAATAATAATAATAATTTCAAATACACAATTGAATTTTACGAAAAAATAAACTATACTTATATATACATATCCGAATACACTTCATTTTTTATAAAAAAATAACTTCAGACATGTATTTTCGAATTTTACTTATTAAAAATTTAAAAATATAAATAAAAATCAAATCAAATAAAATTAAATATTTATAAATTTTTTTGAATTTTTTTTTAAAATATGAAAGCGGAAAATAAATTAAATAAAATAGAAAAATAAGAAATTTAAAATTTTTAAAATTAAATTTTCTATTTTGAGATAAAAGAGAATTTTTAATCCCATTTTTTCCAGATGAAAAGATTTTCTAAAAAATTAAATTTTACTTTAAATAGTATAAAATGACAAAAAAGGATAAATGGAAAGTCTAAAACACCAAAATTAATATTTTATTTTATTATAAAATATATCAATATTTTATTTTATTATAACATATATCAATATTTTATTTTATTATAACATATATCAATATTTTATTTTATTATAACATATATCAATATTTATATTTTATTATTATAATTAGAAATTTAATTATTATATTAATTATTTAATTTCATATTATAAATTTATTTTAATATTTAATTTTTAACTATAAATTTATATTATTCTTTATTAATAATAACTCAATTTTTTTATATTATTTTTTTATATTATAAATAAATATCTTTTTAAAATAAAATCTAAAAAAATTTGAGATATTTGATTATTTCAAATATATTTCAAATATATATTAGAAGATATTTTTGAATTTTCAACCCGTTTTTAGTAAAAAGAAATACTTTAGATCAAAACCGGCACAAAGTGGAAACATACCAACAAAAAAAACATAACAAGAACCAAAATTTGTTGCTCTAGAGTTACTTCTAAAGCTTAACATAAAAAGATAAACTAGCCGTAAAACCAAAATCTCATCATGGCACCGTAACTGTAGTTGCCAACTCCTCTGCTCTAGTGGGATGATCTGGTATTGTGTTTGAGTAGCATCTGTCGGAGCTCCACCGGGTCAATCTTAGGTGCACAATTAATGGGCCTGTAGTATCCAGTTTCCGGATCTGGGACCCAAGCTGAGCAGGTTTCTTGTCCATCTCTGGACACGGGCTTCTCTTCAAACTTTCCGCGGCCCACTCTCGCTGAAACATCAGATGCCGCAGCAAAACCTCGCCTACAAGAGAAAACTAAATGAGTAAATTGAGTGTATAAGATTAGATTAATTCAGCTCAATCGGTTGATAATTGTGCAGAAACATCATACGATTCGAACCTTAACATTCTAGTAATTGTACTACTTGATCAAAAAAAAAAATTAGATTAAACTAAATGAAATGATGATACTACGATGAATGAAAATTGGAACTGACCGATGAAGATGAAACAGGGGAAGAGATTGAGAAACAAGAGGTTTAGCGTGTGAGAGAGAGCGAAACATTTGTATGCTAAGTTATTAGTGTGCTGCTGCGAAAGATTTTCTTTGATATGTTTGTGTAGTTTGAGAATGCTTCCGCAGCAGCCAGGTATTCTGATATCTTAGTGGAATTTGTGTTAGGGTTTATGAGGGCTTATATAATGCACATAAGAAGATACTAGTACATTGTTGGGTTGGCTATATATTTGAAAGCTGGAGGCCTGACCGACTGTAACACCTGATACCATTGCGACACGTGGTTCCTAATTATTATTAATTTAAAAGAAATCATATTCTTTTCTATAATTGAATATCATGAAATTTAATGTACTCTAATTTGTTTTTAAGTAATCTAAAATTTTAAAGTCGCGTTAATTTAGTTTTTCAAATTGTACTCTCATTTAATATATACAGTAAAAAAAATTTAAATTAATAATCAATAAATTAATAATTTTTTAAAATAATAAATTTGTTCGGTGCTGATTTAGACTAATGTAAAAAATTGAAAAACTCGATAAAATAATTAAGATGATAATTTTTTGGGAGATCCCTTTATAATGTTTGATCCAAAGAAAATCATAAATTAATAATTCATAGAAACTGAAAAAAATATATTACACTCTATTGAAATATGATTCAATAATTGTGTGTTTTTCTTTAAAATTCAAGTCTATTTAGAGTTCATCTCTAACTTTTCTTATTGCATCGAATATCTTATGTGTTGTATTTTTGTATTGTATCATAAAGGTTTGAAGAGTGTTTGACGCCATAAGTACTTCATTTCCCGTAACAGGCTCCAAAGACACTATATCATCTTCGCCGTCATCCTCTGCATTATTCTCAATGATAGTACCCATAATATCTTCTAAACTCTGAACCTCCGAGCATGCTTCATTTTCACCTGGGTAGTTCATTAGATTGTCGATATCTATCTTACTACGATAGCCACATTAATTGATCATAGTCTCGAGGTCTTGAGTTTCTTCATCGAAAGTTGATTCATCCAAATTTCTTGCAACGTCACTAGCTGATTGAATTTTACAGTGTCGGAAGAAATTTGCTATTGTTTCTTTTCGAACATATATCGTCCAAGCTGTGATTTCCAAATTGATAGCATCAAGAACATTTATCTTCCCTGGATCAGATTGTCCCACCTCATAACCTTCCAATATTTTACAGTAAAACCTTCTACGGTAATGCATCTTGAAAGCTCTTATTATCCCAGCATCGCAAGGTTGAATCTTTGATGTCATGTTGGGTGGCAAGAAGAACAACTCAACATTTCTTAGCCCTTCAATATTTCTTGGATATGCTGGACAATTATCCACCACAAGTAGAACTCTTCTACCATGCATCATTTGGTCAAATGAATGAACATATTCATCAAAAAGCACACTAGTTGTTGTACCCCAAAATTTATCCTCTCTTTTCTCAAGACATTTCTCACAAAGGATCTTCGATGCTCAAGAATTCTCAAGAATTGATCAGACAAACTCATCTCCTAAGCACTAAGGCCACAGATTAGGGTTTTGGTTTTCACAAGAGAAATTGGATTTCTAATGACTTAAAATACTTTCATGGTTCACTGTGGGTCTCCAATAATATTCATGTCAAGTTTCAAGTCTTAGATCACAATTTTGCTCAATCAATTGATCAGATGACTGAAAATCAATTGTATTGGGTAAAAAGTCAACTGTGGTCAACCTACAGTCAAACTTCAAGATTTTTGACCCATACTAATATTTTGAAGTCATATTCATTAATTGATCAAGGTTTGATCATAATTCCTCAAGAAAAGTATTCAAATCATCAAAGGGGCAAAATGGTCAAATTTAGGGTTTTCACTAGGATTGACAATTATTGACTTTTGACCTAATACATGACTTAATGGTTTAAAGCATGATCTTGAGAATTCAAACACAATATCTTGACCTGATTTCATGGCTCAAATTATTTCTCAAGATCAAACAATTGATAATTGAAATTTGAGCAACTCATGAAAAGTTAATTGTTACACCAAAAGTCAAACTTTGACTTTTTTTGTCAACAATGAGTTTAAAAGATCAATATCCATCAAGAAATTCAAAATATGAATTTTGATCATCAAAAATCAAGGAAATCAAAAAGTCCATAAAAAGTCAAACTTTTGAAGACTTAGAAAAATTTGTAAGTGTTTTAAACCTTGACAATTTCACTACTTCATGACCCTTTTTCACCAAGATGCAAGATGATTCAAAGAAAACTTTAAACATGAAAGTTGTAGATATTGATAAATTCTACAACTTTTTATTTGAGGGTTGATGTCCAAAAAATGCTTAGATTTGAAGATATAAGTCCATGAAGTCATGACATTTTTCATAAAAGACTTAGTGAAAATTTTGACAAGTTTAGGCAGATTTTTGACCTAACTTCTTGGCCAATTTTCACCTAGATCCAAGAAGAGTTAGCTAAAATGGTTAACATGAAGGTTGTAGATATTTTTTCAAGCTTTCCAAAATGTCAAAGAACTTGAAGAGATCATTTTTGATCTAAGAGAGTCAAAGGCAAGAAGTTAGGCATTCATTCTTGAATTACAAGTCATTTTGATGATGAACCCTTGGCCAAATCTCATAGCTATGCTGCATAATCTTACTTTGCAGGCTTCTAAATTGAAATTAAGTCCATAATTTAAGGTTTACACAATTGTTAGATCTATGATCCAAGCATTAGAGCCATTGTCCAACTGATTAATCTATTTTTAGCACAAAGGTAACATTGCCATTTTGGAAAAGCGGCTTTAATCACAAAGTCCACTCTCCTTGAGCTTTTCACTTGTTCCTTCTGCACATACACAATCTCAAAGCCAAAAGCAACTTATCTATAGCCTGTCAACCACCCTACATGCCTTTTACTATGCATTGAAACCATGTTTGTCAAGTTTGCTTCAAAAACAAGTCAAATGGCCATAACATGTGATCTTGTAATTCTGACCATATCAAGTCCTCAAACCTTTTCCTACAAATTGAGACATTGCTTACAAGTCAAGGACACGAAATTACAATCCTGGAAACTCCCCCAAACCCCCTCAAACTCAGATTTGCTCATAAACCTCATTTTTGTTCCATTTCTGACCTTACACACCATACTCTCATTTCACTCGTGCATTCTTCCTCAAAATCAATCACAAAGCATCTATATATCATTTAGAACCTAACCTAACACCTGTTACACAACTGTAACACCTCCATCACCATTCTCTATTTTCAAAAACAGCACCTTGCACTTTGACTTCTCTAGTACAATTCAGGAACTCTCAGCTTAAAGTAATTATTGAAATAGCTTCCCGGAGGTTCAGTGAAGCTAACCGAATCATTACAACACCTTGAAGTGTGCTCAAACTCAAAACACTATCTCCATCTACAAGATGAGTTTTTTAAACTTCTATCTCTTCATACAAGCATCACTTGGCTTTCATTTTAAAAGATAAAATATAGACATCATAGCCCTGAAACTAACTATGTCCTTAGAATTCATTTATATTGCATGAGCATGGAGAATTTTAAGTCTGAACTTTCTGAGAAAATTAGATCAGATTTTCTACCAACAGAAATTCGTGCTTATCTTTGATCCATTGTTTAAGTTATTTACATATTTGAAATCGTGGTGAAATTTCTAACAAGTTTGATGTTTACAATTTCTGAAATGATTGAGAAATGAGCAAGATATGAAATTCAAAATCTGACTCAGAAGGTTGGCGCGAGGAAGAAGATGAAGTTACCTTTAGAACTTAGTTTATTTTATATTTATTACAAGTTGTTTTATAAACGGATGAAACAATCACTCCAGTGGCAGAAAGCGCGCGTAAGACATTATTGTTAAGGGTCCTGGATTCGAGCTCCAGCGATGCCTTTTATTATTTTTCACATTTTTCTTGTTTCTGTTTTTTTGTTTGGCAACGCGCTTGGGCCTGCTTCATTTTTTTCTCACCATCACCCCCTGTTTCCTAACAACACACAGGCCATTACATTTTTTATTTTTGTTTTTGTTTCTGATTCCAAAAACAGTTTTGGGCCTAATAAACTGTTTTTACTTCCAAACCTTCCTAATTCTTTTTCAACCCCCTGACTCTTTAATTTTAATTATTTTATTTTATTTTTATTCTCCTATTTTTATTTTTATCATTATTACTTTTAATCAAAATACATAAATATATATTTTTATAAATAATTAGACTAAAAGTCTTTATTTTTACTCTATCTCTACTTTATTTTATAAATAACAAAAACCCTAAAAAAAATTCTTTGTTAAATTAAAACTAATTTAGACCTAGTTTTTTATTTTAGTTTTCTCTTTTAATTAAATTAACTTAGATTTTAGGAATTTAATTAATTAACTTCTTTTCCAATTAATTAGGTTAATTAAAAAAACTCTTTTTCATACAAAAAACCATAAAAAAACATTTTTCTTTTTCTCTTTTCATTATCCTTGCATTTTTGCACATTTTATTTTTTCGCACTATAATTATGTAATTGTCAAAGCCTTGTAATAGTAATTAGGGTTTACTTTATTTGTCATCCTCATTTGTAAATTTGAATCCCCCATCCCAAAATATTTTAATAGCGTAGGACTTTTAATTTCCGCAATTTATCGCTTTCCATATTATTGCTAGTAATTAGGGTTTGTATGGCAAGACTAAAAATCAATACTAGATAACCCTAATTCAAGATAAAATTAAATGAAAACAATACACTTCGCACACTTGCATCTCTAAGGTTAACCCACACTTGTTTCCTTAGATTAAAGCAGTCATGTCCCTTGAACGTGAAATACTTTAGCAAAGACCCTCGATTACAAGATCGCAGTCCCTCAGTGACCCTTCGATGTTGCCTTCGGTAAATGATCTTAGTCCCTTACAAAAAATTGCTAAAGTATCCTACAATGTTGCCTTCAATGACTGTATGATGACCCACGTTGTCCCTTCACATCCAATGATAAGGCTTCCTACTAACTAATGGTAGAAAAGCACTATCTAAAGGAGGAGAAGA